ATATATAAAAGCTATTTTAATTAATTTTTTTTAAGTTCTAACTAATAGAACTTAATAAATCATTAATTTAAAATCTTAAATTAATAGTTAAATGATAATTTTGTTTCGATTAGTGTACGTAGGTTAGTTTCTTTTTGCAGCAACCATCTTTTTCTTTTAATTATTAATTTCAAGCAAAGAGTAAAAGAAGATAAATAAAAGAAAACAATCTATAGATCAGCTTAGCAGATTCTAAACTCTAAGAGTTGTTTGTTGTGGATTAATTAATATTTCATAAACAATATAAGTGATTATCAGAAGTTACTTAAAGTAATCACCTCCACTAAATGATGATTGGTTATTAACTCCCAACGCACATTGATTAATTGGGAAATATAAATTCATACAACTTTAGATTTGATCAGGTACATAAAACTAAAAGTATGATTTGTGTATATGCAAGCAGAAGCGAAAATATTGCCTAATTTTTTAATTGGCATAAATTATTCAAAAAGGAAAAAAGAATGAAATTCCTAAATATTAGGAGTTTATACATAGTTCAAATAACAAAAGGTTTGATAGTAAAAAAGTTTAGTTAATTTTAAAATTCTAAATATTATGAAAATAATCAAATGACTATTTTGTGTAGTGTGAACTCTATTTTAAAGGGGCAAAAAAGTCGAACGACATTTCGTTAAGAGCCTTTGTGCTTTTAATATAATACTAGTCTTAGAGTACCTGTCTCAATGAATTATATGCTTTTTATAGTGAAAATTATGTTTAAGTTACAAAAATAAAAATTTACAAAAAAAGAATTCTTGAAAATAATAATTGTTGATCCTATTCAGTCAATTACTCAAGAAGGAAAAAATTCTACCACATAGATGTTCTCAATCTAGTATCTCAATTACTCGGTTCAACTTAATATTTCTCCCAATTTTATAATTTTATTACTTCAATTTCACAAATTATCATGCTTTTTTTTTTAGTTTCAACAAGAACATATAACCTTATTGAAGATTTAAAAGTTAAACTAAAAATAATTGGAAAGTTGTGTATTCTCAAGCTCATTCTAAAAGACATAAATTAACTGATATAAGAGGTCTATTCAATTTTTTTTTCTTAATCGATAAAAAAAATTGTAGAAGTTATTTCTAACAGATTAAAAAAACACACTATCGCAAAATAGCATCCATAATCAACTCTTTTTTTTTTTAGAGAGCTTTCTTCTCCATCCATAACCATGCATCTAGATTCTACATCTGAATGTATCAAATGTTATCTTTTATATTTACCGTATTTTATGGACAATCTTTTATCTGCTCCTGGTTGTCATCGCTAGATCACTTTTTTTTCCGCTAAGTGATTGCTTAGGAACCTTAGCGTATGATCTGGACTGCTTTTCTCTCAACTTTGGATCTTAGAACCAAAAAAGGTTGTGTACAAATGATCTAGGCCCGTATTCGGAGTTTCCTTGGGGTTGGTAAGGCGAAATGAGGCCACCCTATTGTCTATAGCCGTGCATTTGTCCTTCATGCTAGTTAGCATAATATGAAAAATAAATTTTAATATATCTTCTAATAATTGTTTATAGCTTCTTACACATTAAACCAAAATAAATATAAAAATATATAGATCGGTTCATGAAAGTAGAAAATAATAAAAGTTATTGTATATATTCATGTTCGTATAACGAATAACAAAAGTAAAGAAATATAATAGAATAATACTATTCTTTATTTTAGTTTTAGCTAAACAGTAAATGGAATAGAAAAGGATATAGAGACTTTTTATTCAAGTAACTTGGTGTAGGACCATAGGTGTATACATTTTTTATGCACAACCGAACAAAAAAAAAAGAGTTATAGATAGCTTTTTCTAGAATTTAAATATATTATGGAAAAACTTTCATGTTCAATGTCATACTTTTAAAAGGAGTTGATGAAAAATATATAATATAAAATATGGGACTTTAATATTATCAATATGAAATTAAAGAGGTGCAAGAATAATTCCCCCAAAAGCAAAAATAAGACGTAAGATATGTGTTAATATCTCTGTCCATATATTCTTTTCTATTTATGGTTGGAGAATATTGGGGCATCTACACGTTATTATTATAGTTTTATTTATAGAAAAAAATAGTAAGACATTAACAATTTAAAATAAGAAAAAAATTATATAAGGAAAAGAATTTATTGATTTTAAAATCCTAAATATTAGAACTTTTTACCTAGTTTAATAAGAAAATATTTTATAACCAAAATTTTAGTTGATTTTAAAGTGCTAGATATTAGGAAAGTTAATAAAATTACAACTTTGTCTAATGTGAAACCTTTTTCTAAAAGGTAAAAAAGGCTAACGGCATTTCGTTAAGGGTTTTCGTGCTTTTAATATAGTATAAATAGATAGATATAGATTATTAAATATTATACTACCTGTTAACGAAAGAATTAAAGGATTAAAACTGTTTTTGTTTCTTTGTTCTCTAAAGAAAAGGTAGTGCAAGTTTCAGTCCTAGACATAGATGAAAGAAAGTTAAACATAAAAATTTGGTGAAAGTGAATAATCTCTATTTATTGGAGAAATATTAGAGAGGAGCAGGTCCTTATAATCCTGTTGACAGTTTAGCTCGTTCCTCTTACTAGATTTGTCAATTATTTGAAGGCCATGGAAGTCAAAGGAGAAAGCATGGTCTGAGGCCAACTTATATTAACTAGTGATTCATGTAAAACTGTTGAGTGAAATGAGGAAAACTAACAAAAAAATTTCTCCATAACACAGAGAGAAACAAACAAAGGTAGATGCAAAAGTCCTAGTCAACATTTCATGACATAATAAAATAAACTTTTTTTTGTTACTAATGAAGAGTAGGACAACTTTTGCTGAATTTACTCTTAGATGGATTGGGCTAGATAGAGATTCTTTCCTCCGCCCATAACTGCAAAGAAAAAAGTCAATTCATCTTCTCAAAAACCTCATATGCAAATGGCAGCATCAAGATTTTCAGTTTCACTTTTAATGGCCCTCCTTTTTGCTCTGTCTGCCTCTTTCCAATTCAATGACCCTGGTAATCCTGTTGTATTTTCTATTAGCTATTTTTCTTATTGAGAAGTGAGATTCCCAAGTAGGTTTCTTTTTGTTTTTTGAGGGGTTTTCTTTGGTTTCAGATTGGTATTTGTGGTTTCCCCTATATGCAATGGCTTGCCTTGTCAACGTGGTCAACGGAGTCACAAAAACAGCCAAATTTGCACTCTTGATGGGAATCATCTTATTCCTCAAAGTTGTCATTGAAGATGTTCGTTTTCATCAAAGAATAACTGGACTTTGGTCGTTCGATATGAGGGAGAGACTTGTCAGGGAAAAGCTTGGAAGTGGACTTGTTATTCTTTCCATGTCTTTACAACTGCTAAAATCAGACACTAATAATCCTTCACTTGCAAACCATGTTGAATTTGGTAATTTTCCTAAATCTCTTTTTTCTTTTTTTGGTTTGATTCTCATATGGGTATTAGTTCTAGCTTTTTACTTTATTGTACATCTGTTTTGTATTGCAGGACAATCAATTTTGGTTGCAATAGGTTATGGCCTGTCCTTTGCTTTCTTATTGTTCTCAAGGCCAGAAATGAAGTTTTAATCTCACTGATCTTCGCTTTTGTTGATCCATGTAATAAAAACTTCTCCAGTGTACTCATCCTTCATATAAGTATATAAACAAGAGACGATCCGTCTTTATAACACGGTGTGGAAATTGACCATACGGACATTTCTGATTAAAATGGAGTTACTACAGAGGAAGAAAAATGAAATGGGAAAAGCTACAAAAACCTATGATGGTAAAATGAAATGGGAAAAGCTACAAAAACCTATGATGGTAAAATTCAATACTACATCACAGACGGGTGTGACAAACTAGGTCACAGAAAACCCATTTGACATTTGCCAAGGAAACCTAAGGACATTTACAAACTTTTTGCTTCCTGCAAGAAACACACCAGGCCTCTGCATTCCAATCTCTACAGATTTTATTGCACGAGGCTTTGAATGCACAACATGTTAAGCAGAGGATTTAGTAAAGACGTCCCCTGCAATTGGAAGATCCACACAGGCATGGAGACCCTTCTCCAGGCAATAGTTTGTATCTGTAATTATAGGTCAGTTCTTCACCTGCAAGTATCTGCTCAAGAAGTCGAGGGGCCACAATGTGTCAGAGCCACAAAAGGCAAAGTGAAGGAGGGGGAAAAAAATGTATCAGAGCCGTAAAGAGTAAAAATCTACCCTCACCCGTTGTCCACACCAAATCAATGATTCGAAGACACGTGTCTTGGATACCCCACACTTCTCAGTTAATCATGGTTAATTGGATGTTTCTTTCTTAATTTTCAATTCCTATGGTTAAATTGCATGATTTGGTGTAAGCACCAGGTGTGGGTAAGTTTTAGATAAGATGAATTCAAGTAACCAAAATTTCCAGTTCAACAAAGAAAGTAAGGACGAGCAGTAATCTTTATTTTTTCAAAATCTTAGAGATCATACAATTGTGCATGGTTACTAGACCAATATCTACCAAAGAGGAGAGAGAACATACATCTCGACTTGCATAAAAACCAATGTGTGCAAGCTGATAATCCATGCTTTCCACAAGAACTTGGTAATTCACGAGATTCGGCGAGCAACTAAAGTAGCAACAAATAAGAAACCAAAACTTTGTAAGAAATTAACTGAAAGCAATGTGAAACAAAATTACACACCAACTCATCACCAACAGCAGGAAACACAAATAAGATGCAAAAACTCGGCACAATCATCAAATAATTTTCAGCTATATATATTTAATTCTCTCAGCAATACCCAGGTAGGAGCACAGAAAGGCAGAAGAGAGAAAGAGTTGTAGAAGCACTCGATGATTTGTTGGCACAATCATCAAATAATTTAATGCTCTTATTGCAATAAATATATTTGTTGGCTTAATGTACTGACCATTTTAAGTGCCATTTGGCATTATAAAGCAACTTTGAGTTGAGATATTCCATCTCATACAAAAAAGTTGTTAAGTATTAGTATCCCACATTGGTTTGTGCAGAGTTGTAATCTCCTCATATGGTCTTGGACATTCCCACAACTTGGGCTACCTTTTGGGGAGAGTTCGATCCAAGATCCATATTCAGACCATTCGTATCGGAGCCGCTTCTCAAAGTTGGTTCACCCATGAATCATGATATGTTACTTATCACTCCAAATATCCAAGCTTCCGGCCCACGTTGGTTAAGTGTATGTACTAGGATGTAGTCCTCTTATATAGTCTTGGACAACCTCACCACTTGAGCCAGTTTTTGGAGTGAGTTAGACCAAGGGCCATTTTCTCAACAAAAAGAATGGACCAAAGTAAGCGAAAGCGGAGGGAAGAAGAGGAAAAAGAACATGGAATGAGCTTAATCAAGGATCTAGTTAACCTCGGGTCAAGCTCAACAGTTAGCAAGGAGAGATTATTTACTTTTTTGACAAGAATGATTTCACCCATCACATATTGATGAATTCCTTATCAAAGACATGTTTGCATGCTTAAAAAATGTGATACGTTATAGAATTCCAAAAACTCAAGTAAAAGCTAGGTAAGACTGACTTATTTGATAAACTCAAGGGCAAATATACAGGGGTATCTCCATGTGACGGTATTTTATCTATGTTGGCATGCTCGACATTTTCACATTTTGTATCAGATTATCACAAACAGCTTACTAAGGATATACATTATAAAGAAACGTAGCGATTTCTTCATGCCCATAGGCCATAACGTCATCAATCCTAGGACTACTTCAAAACATTGTGCCTCACTATCCATGCCGACATTACATCAAAAATACTTTTTTCAAGCCACTGATTAACTTTACAATCAAATCTAAGAACTTCATTAGCAACTGCTATCACCTGCTTACTGATTTTGATGTATTTATCATCAAGATATAGTTCAGTCAACCTTTATCTGTGAATAAATGCGTGGGCTGATAAATAAAGCTTGAAGCTTTATTCTTGTCATTACTTAAACAAGTTGGCCAAAAATGCAACTAACCTGGTCTTTGCCTTTACTTTTACACTATTATAGAAGCTGATGGTCCAAATATAATGCAAATTGACACAGTTATAACCACATTGCAACTAAATCAAATCAACAAGAGAGTTGCAATAGTACCTGTGGTTGATGTAACGGGAAACGTTTCCATAGTTAGTAGCATCAATTACATATGGCGCTTGCCCTTCAATCAGTCTGCTCATATCATTGATGTGAGCATCTATCTCCAAGATGTACCCGCAACCTTCTCTGCCATACCTACTCAAATAGGAAGGAGCCAGATATAAATAAGGTGCAATAAAGTGCAACAAAGCAATTTACCAAGTAGAATGTGTGCCAACCTATTGCGTCTTTTATTTTCTTCCTGCTCATCAAGTACCTCTCCGACATATTCACACACAAATGTACCGCGAAGGATTGCTTCTCTTGCCCTGACCGCCCATCCCTGTGAGCCAAAATGGTAAATAGCTAGAGAAACTAACCTCTTAATAACTTCAGATCAAAGTATTACCTTCGTCTCGGTTTTGTATATTTCTAGCTTCACACGCAATCCATTCTGCAAAACCCGATTCTGGCAAGATTTACTGCAAGAGCACCATTGATTGCATTCATAGACTAGGTAGCCCTCCTGACAATAAAGTTAGACAATCAGGCAGCAATATGCTAATCGAATCAAGCACATCCTACAAAATTACTAGCATCGTGTATGGTGATTGTAGTTACACTCTCTCAGCCAACACAGTTATCAGACAAATCCAGGTTATTGAGCAGAAGATAGTACACAAGGCATCCTAGAGTAAGTAATTATCAGCAAAAATCACTAACGAACTACCTAAGTCACAAGAATATGCAACACTAATCAAAAGAAAGTATCTTTTACCTCCAACATTATCCGACCTCTCTCATCATACGGGAACCTTCCACACATAGGCTTCCCACAAATATCTTTTGCGTCCTCGTAGTCATTATCAAAAAGATAAATATGATTACAAGTTTGAGAAGAGCATGCTGAATTTGGACAAGAACACCCCAATTGGTAACTCTGCCGTAAAATAGAAAAAAATGATTTAGAGAGGAGAGAGAGTGAGCGAGAGAGAATTCAACAACTTAAGATTATGAAAACCACTTGTTCTGGTGCTTGGCCGGATGAAATGAAGTTGCATGGCTACTAGAAGTCAAAAGAAGTTACCCCTATTTCAAGACCAACGGATTGATCAATCAACGATTTGGTTACATAAGTAAAGCTCTCCCAAGGAAGAGAACTCGTGGTAATTTGGCCATCGGAACCATCAGCAAGAATGTGGAGGGAGGCAAAAAGATTTTCTTCCACCACACAAGTTATCGGAACTGATTCCTGTTCAAAGCTTATGTCATCACACAAGAGAATAGTTTTGTCGGACGGTTCATGCTTGAACTGTTGAGAATCAATGACGTAGTGACACTCATCCATTATCCACTCACTTATAGTGGAATTTGGTCGAATACTGCTGGTTCTATTCACTTGATCAGGAAGGGGAAGTAATGAGGATACTATGCAAGGATCAAGAACAGGTGTACATCCTTTTGGGCAAATGAAACCATCTTGGTGCCAGCTTACAAGGATATTCTGCTCACTACACAATTTTGCTGCTTTGAGATACATGCGCTCCGGCAAAATTCCGTAGGTTGCTTCCAGTGAGGCTTGGAGGCTAACTTTACAGCAAGTAATCCGAGCTATTGATAAGATGTCTGAGTTACTTGGCCGTGGCTTTGTTCTCTTAATCTCAGCAAACAGTATCTTTGCAATATCTAGGCAGTGGGGATCTGCCAGTCTGCCTAGACCAGCTGTCTCGGTTGCACTAGGTTGAATCATAGATTTTCCACTAATCATGGAGTTTGATGACAAGATGCGTCTCTTCATATTCTGAGCATTTCTGTTCCTAATCCTATATGCTACAGATCCAAGACCCTTCTTGAATTTCGGACGGCTAAGTCTTCCTGACTTTAGTTTATAAGCATAGAAACGGATGCCTCTCTTTGAGATATGAGAGCCAACAGAATTAGGACCCATGTGAGCAGCCTGATGATGGCGGCCTAGATCAGGTAACAAGTCAAATTTCAGGCCACAAAATCTGCAGATGAATTTTCGGAAACCAGACTGGTTCTCAAAATTAATATTCGGTGCAGACACTGACTTGCCAATATCAGGCTTCTCTGACGAATCTTGACTTACGGAAAAATGATGCTCTTGAGCAGTATGAGACAACCTAAAACTGGCAGGATGTGTGGCGAGCACGTGGGACCATAACTCCTCTGAGTTCCCAAAATTGCTAGTACAAGGAATACACTGGAAAAGCATGCAATTTTCAACAAACTGCGAATGATGCCTCTCCTGCATGTGAGCTTCCAAAACTTTCTTATTAGTAAAAGATTCCAGGCAGAGAGCACATGCATAACCCCTGAACAGCCATTGAGCTTCCTTTTTATGATTGTCCATCCAGTGTGTGCCAAGCACATGCTCATCTGGAAACATTTCTGAGCAAATTTTGCACTTAATGATATCATTGTGATCCTGGTCTTTATCTGTAATCCATAATATTGGACTTGGTTCTTTGATGTAAGGGGAAGCTTGTGCATTTTCATTAGAGCTAAAGCCCCAAACACTTTTCAGCCTCTCCTTTTCAGTACA